AAATGTACTAAAATGACCACAACTTATTTCCCTATATATATATATATAGATATATACACCTCAGCCCCTTGGCTAGAAGTTGTGTAGCTGGAACCAAATTGAATATGAGATTGGCTAGAAGTTGTTCTCCATATTGATCACTGATCGTTTACTACAAAAATTGGTAAATATTTTTTTTCTTACAGATTTGTAAATGTTTTTTTATGCAAATCTTTTTTAAAAATTTCAGTAAGTTAATTTTTTAATTTTTTTATGCAGATATTTTTAATTTTTTCATGCAATTTTTTTAAATATTTGCTCATGCATTTTTTACTCATTTTTTTTTCAAGCAGATAGTTTTAATTTTTTTTTATTTTGTTCAATTAATTTTTTTCAAGCAATTTTTATTTTTAAATTTTTTCTTGCAATTTTTTTTTTAGATGTTTAAATGTCAGTATATTGTGATGTATTATTGTAGGATTCATGTCTTCTTCCATTGTTGGAGGAGGAGGAGGTCGAGACATAGGGGAGGAGGAGTGATAAGCCTGTATTACAGTTGTGGTTAAGATTGTGGAATCTGGTAAGCCTACTAAAGAAATACTGTATTACAATTGTGAAAAAAGGTCTTGCATATTTTTTGTATGGTATCATCCAATATCTATGTACCACTGATCGCCCAACCTGAAGGGTATGGAATGGGACATTGCAACATAGAGACAAATGTTGAATTAAACAAGTTGGCTGTAAGAGTGAAGTCGATAGAGGACACCCTACAATGCATGAAGAAGATGATGGCAGTTGTAATTATGATTTTAGTGTCACAGCTATTGGCTGATGCTTTTGTTTTCTATGTAATATGACTGGTTGTTCAAATATGATGCTTTTGTTCTATGTAATATGACTGGTTGTTCTAATCTGATGATTTTGTTCTATGTAATACGAATGTACCTGATTTTGTTAAGCATTGCCGTTTTGATAGTTACATTCATCATAATTCTGATAATTACATCCATGAATGTTCAAATATGCATCCATTTCCATACATTCATAATAGTTACAAAATTTGCCTCCATTTCCAACTATTCTGTTGTGACATTTGCAAGTATTTTGCACAAAAATTTACAAGTTAAATCATTTGTTCTACACAAAAGTCCTACTCTATTCCTATGTCAAACCAACTATATTCAAGTATTCACACCAGGAATAAAAACAAGCAAAAAGTCATTCATTTGGCTCATCCTCTTCCTATTCTATCCCAACAGTTTGTGTCTCCTCCATGCCCCTGCCCTTGCCCCTACACCTGTCTTTCCTTCCTCTACCTCGTCCTCTTTCGGTGTCCACTGCCCGTTCAATGTTCTGGTTTTCTAGTGGCAAGCTAGGTTGTGTTTGCAAGCTAGGTTATGTTGGTAAGGTAGGCTGTGCTGGTGTTCCTCGTCCCTTGCCCTTACTTTTCCTTCATCTTCCTCTGCCTACATTAGTCTCTCCGGTTGCACATACCTAATAAGTATGGAAAAGTGAATTAGCAGCTTGTGTATTTTGTAAACTATGTAACTAAAAAAATTAAAGAATTAGTACTTGTTCATTTGTTAGTCTAATTCCAAGTTTTGCCATCATAGGAGATGTCTGTTTTGCCCTCATAGGAGCTCTTTGACATGTCCTCTTATTATGACCAAACTCTTTGCAAATTTTACATTTCACACTTAATGACTTCCTAGCAAAGCTAGATTGTGATGCTGGCTCATCTGCCTCCCTCCTCCTATTTTTTTTTGGGTCTATCTAGGAGTCTTCTCAGAGGGGGGAGAGATAGCATATCACCAACTGCATGTACCCATTTTCTTTGGTCTCGAAGGGGGTGTATCATTAGCTCATGAGCTTTTAAGAATGCCTCTTTCTTGAAGAAATCATCACAATATTTCTCAATATTCAACTTCTTGTGTGCAATTGCCTGTGTTGCATGCTTACATGATATGCCTGATATACCGCAGGCCATACAAACACTTTTTTTTTCATCAAGTACCACTATGTATCTTATCTCATTATCCATTATCTCATACTGCATTCCACCTGCATGCACTATAGAACATGATCTTGAATCAACAATAATTTTGTTAAGTTTTTTCCTCACATTCTCTGTCACTAACCTTTCCCAACTGTTGCCCCTCTCATGCCTTTGTGGAATCGTAGTCATAAATTTAGTCCTGATGCCATCTAACTATGTATTTCATTTTCTAATTTCTTAGCAAGTCAACTTGCTTTGTCCACATTATCATCTAACTCAGAGCTAGAATTAATATAATTATCATCCCTAGATGCATAGTCTGACAACCCATCATCATCATTTAAAATCACCCTAATCTCTTCATCTATGGTATCATGCTCTTTTCCATAGTCTTTATCTTCACACCTAATTCCATATACATCATTAGATTCAAAATCAACATCATCACTATTTCCAACTTCATCATTCCCTTGATTCTCCACACTAGCCAGACTCTCCACATGCTCCACATTGGCCAAACTCTCCACGTTACCCTGATTCTCCAAAACACCCACATTCTCCAAACTACCCATATTCTCCACACTGTTTCTATTAACAACAATGTTTCCAATTTCTTGTGGAATAACATGTATGTTTGTGTGTTTTCTATTATCGTGCCTACTAAACATCTTCGTTACATCTTTGTCATCATCTAAAAATATTCTGTCATTTGAACCTGGCAATTCACAAAATAATTTGAACACTAATGTCAATGCTGATGAACACAACATAAAGACATTTGCTAATAGGAGCACATGATAATATTTATCTGGGTCAACGTTCTGTGCCATGTACTGTTGCCCATCAAAGTGTATGAACAAGTCAATCAACTTAGCAGCTATTTCTACAACAGTTTCAAACACAATAGCACATTCAAGAAATGAAAAAAATCATCTATATAGCATGTTTGAAACAAGAAGGATTTTTAGAAAAGATTAAAAATTGAAGCACTAATTTCAATACTGTCATAAGCCCAAATATCTATGGATAATGCATTAGAAAAACCTGAACTATAAGGATAAATGATGAACAAAGCACCCAAATCCATAAAATAAATATAAACCCTAGATACAAAAAACATAAAAAAAAATCCAGATCTGTCCAAACCTTTACTCAATATCTATGAAGAAAGCATTAGAAAACCCTGAACTATGTTCAGTATGAAAATAAAAGATGAACAAAACCCCCAAATCTGTAAAATATAAACTCCATATACAAAATAAGTAAAAAAAAAAAAAAGATGAACTATGTTCAAACCCTTACTCAATTATGTTCTTTGTCACTAACCCTCAACTATGTTCAGATGGTAAAGATGAAAAAAACCTCCCAAATCCATAAAAGATGAACAAAACCCTAGATACAAAAATACGTAAAAAAAAAACACAAATTTATTCAGTACATACCACAGAATCTTCAATGCACACTCTTCAAATCATTCGACGTTTGGAATTGCAAAGATCTTCCAAGCCTTCAGCAATTTTCTTTCCCCCTCTCTCGTTTTCTGTCTGTTCGTGCATTAGACAATTAACCATGGAATGTACATAAACACCTGAGTTGGGTTAGGTTTAATAAATAAGTTGAGTTAATTAAACATAACCATAGTTAGTAGTACAGGTTAAATTTGTATACATACATAATACGTATAAAATACTTAGAGTAATTTTTGTAAATTAACCCTAGTCATTAATGTCGTTACCACACAATGTCTGACAGGTGGTGACAGTGAAGATTCAAAATGGATAAAAGGTGTTTTTAAATTTATGCCTAACTAGAGGAGATGTTGATGAAATTTTCCCAAAAATCAAATGTGTTGGCCAGTCAACTATAAATTTGAGAAGATGCATCTTAGCTTCTAGTTACTCACTTCACCAGTCAGCCCTCCCTCTTACTCTTGTGTATATGTACTTTGACCATACCATGTCACGCTCACTATAAAATTCCCTTTCTATACTTGAAATGGATTCCTCATTCTTTTTTAAGATAACAAGTAGCCCGTTGTACTTACGGATTAGATTCTGGATATGGTGTCCGCATATCCTGTTCTTAAACAACTATATTGACCAAATTATTAAATTATTAGATAAATTATAAATTTTAATGTTACGTGAATTCACTTTTAATTCAATGATTATATTGAATTAGATTCTCAAATTAAATTCAAACCGGATTTTTCATACTTTATAATATCTCACTCTAAATTAGTCTTCTTTAGTTTAAAATTTTGACTCGCCTTTGTAACCTATTAGAGTAAGAGCAATGCTAATTATATTTACAAATTTGATTTCGTTCACTATGACTTTTATGTGGACTTTGGGCTTTATAAAATATTAGAACTTACTTTTAATTCAATTGTTTCAATGAAAATACATTACCAGATCAATAAATCAAGTCAAAATTTTAAGTTTAAATAACATTTCTCTTAAGATAATATAATGACAATCAACCAAACAACTGTTGTCCAAATTTATTTATCAAATCTTGTATGTTAATTGATGTGTCAAAATCCAATCATTCACACTAATTTGAGATATAAAATTTAGAAAATAATTCTATAAACATATCATTGCTCCCTCGAAAGTATAAATTAAGAAAATCAAAAGTCAAGGATGTCCACCAATCTTATCCTTTGTCAAAAAATGATAATACATAAATATATTATTTATGTGGTGTACATAAATTATCCTCTCTAAAATTCTAAATTCATTTATCTATAAATAGAAAGACAATAGAGAATGATTCACACAACAAATTATCTATAATGCTCTAACCATAAATAGAGCATTCCACAAGCTTTCCCCAATCAGCAAAATCAAAACACCCAACCACCATGAAGAGCTCTCTGGTTTGCATCCTCTCCCTCTCTCTCCTACTCTTTCTCTCTCTACCATCCCCTTCTCTCTCCGACCGGTGCAACCCAAAAGACAAAAAAGTACTTCGTGAAATCAAAGCAGCCTTCAACTTCAACAACCCCAACTCCTTTTCCTCATGGAACCCAAAGATTGATTGCTGTGATTGGCCTGGTTTGGATTGTGACCTCAACACAAGCCGTGTCATTGCTCTCACCATCTTTGGAGGGAACCTGGCCGGCCAAATTCCGGCTGCCGTCGGTGATCTCCCTTTTCTCAAAAACCTTGAGTTCCGAAAACTCCCCAACCTGAACGGAACCATCCCTTCCTCCATTGCTAAACTGAAAAACCTTCGAGAACCTCTCTGGACCAGTCCCCACATTCATTACCCAACTCACAAACCTGTACTTACTCGACTTATCCTTCAACTATCTCACCGGTTCAATCCCTCCCTCTCTTTCCCAACTCACTAATCTCCTCGCCATTCGCCTAGACAGAAACAAACTCACCGGAGAAATCCCAGACACGTTTGGAAAATTCACCGGCAGTGTCCCGGACCTTTATCTCTCCCACAACCAACTCACCGGTACAGTTCCAAAATCTTTGGGTGATTTGAACTTCACAGAGCTTGATTTCTCACGTAACAAGCTTGTAGGCGACATATCATTCCTGTTCGGCAGAAACAAAACGATACAAAACGTGGACTTCTCAAGGAACATGTTTGAGTTTAATCTTTCGAACGTGAAGTTCCCGGCGAGCTTGACGTCGTTGGATTTGAACCATAACATGATCACTGGGACTCCGCCGGAGGGATTGACGGCGCTGAATTTCCAGTACTTGAACGTGAGTTATAACCGGCAATGTGGTCAGATTCCGGTGGGTGGAAAGCTTCAGAACTTCGACATGTATTCGTATTTTCATAACCGGTGCTTGTGCGGATCCCCGTTGCCGGCGTGCAAGTGATTATGTCATCGGAAGAAGGTGTTAATGAACATTCGTAGCCGCCGGAAAGCTATAGTGGTGAGCTTGTACTGCACCGATGAATGCTTTTGGCTAAATAAACCTTGATCAAATGTGGCGCGATCTTAAAAATTAGATTTAAAAAATAAATTTAATAATTACAACAACTAATTTTACTATAAATTCAGTATTTATAGTTACCCACTAGTTATTCGATAATTATAATTATCAAATTTACTTCTTCATACAACTTTTCAAATTTATGTAACATTACTCATAAACCTCAGCTTTCGTAAGAATTTGGTTTGAGAAATAATGGAAATTTGAGTATTGTTATTGTGAGTTAAAAATTAAACATAATTTGTTAACCTAATTACGTGTCAAGTGATAAGGCTTTAATAAAAAAAAAATTCAACAATTAGAGCTACAATAATTTTAAAATAGTATTGTCGGGACCTAAAAAAATAATCTCTAATAAAATAATTATTATTATAACTGTTAGGCTTCTTCATCGTGACTGTATCACTTAACAGATTATTAAATCAAAAAATTAGGACAATTTTTTAGATCTTAATAACATTACTCATAATTCTATTGAACCATGTTATTGTAACATTATTACATTAGATTTTGAAATCCAAACATTGTTCTAAATAATTTTATTAACAATGCTACTTGTAATTAAATTGCTGGCCTAATTCATTGCAATGTTGCATTAACAACAATTCTTAATGTTGGATGAGTCCTTTGCCAATCCAACAATTTAATAAATTAGGGCAACACATTAGATCGATAAATCATATCTAAATAGTGTTATTCAATTTTTGTTAATTTTTCTGTTGTATTCAACGAGGATTTAAAGTCTCTATCATATTTTACTCAATTTCATTCACGATAAACTAAGAGTAGTGTTATGTATCTCAAATTTATAATCCAAATTTGCATTTCAAATCAAGGAGGATCATTGGATCAGTGGGTCCCATCAACTTTTTTAAATGTGACCCACTGATTCAATGATCCTCTTTAATTTGAGATATAAATTTGAATTACATATCATTACTCATAAATTAAACTCGTGGACTCACCATTTAGAAGTGGACTGGACCCCACATTTATACTCTGTGAGTGAATTATTACCATCGAAATAAAATTGTAAAACTTAGAATTAAGTATAATATGAGATTTATTTTGTCAATAAATTCAAGTGCAATTTTTTTTGAATTGTTAAAGGCACATATTATTTATTTAATTTTATATATAAGTTCAATAAACTATTTTTTATTTCTTATTATGTCCTCCGGTATGACACAGATACACCTTTCTCTCTCTTTGTATTATTGTATAAATGATCCTGCATATTAGTGTCACGTACTGCGAGAAGATCTCTTCTCTCTTCATATTCGTTTTTTTTTATTTTTTTTTGTAAACCATCCGGTGTCCGGTAGTTACAACTGAGTCCGACTAATTTGGATTCAAGTCGGACAAGACTACAAGCCGAGTATTTAAATACAGCTGCATTCTTAAGTCTCGAATCCAAGAGCTTGATTAAGATAAAAAAAAACTCCAAACCAATTGATCTACGTGCTCATTTACTCCCTTCATATTCGTTTGATCTGTGCAAACTCTCCCTTTCTCGACTTTGATCATGGAAAATACTATAAAATACAAATAAAATTTTAAAAGTACAACTGAAATACTTATTATTTTTTAGACGGGTGAGTTCCGACTTACTCATTTAAAAAATAATATTTATTTAAATAGTAATTTTTTAAGTTTCATTTGTTTTTGTTTTGTGCAACGTTACTCTTTCATCATTATCCGGTTGGTGTTTTTTGTATTAGTGTTATTCTGGGGGTTCCTATCAATCAACATCAACGACAGCTGTTTCTGAGGAAAAGAGAAATCAGTTACTAATCAGTAGGTCGATAATTGTTGATTTTGAATTTTTTAAATGTCTAATTTAGTTTCATATTCTTATGACAGAGCCATCAGTCGATACTAACTGCCCAATGAAATATTAACGTAATGTATCAACTGTTATATCATCGTTGCATAAAACTTGGATGCATCATTATAAAAAATGTCTGAGATTTAGTATGCCGAAATGAAGTTCGATAAAATGCATTAAAAATTTAGTAATTCAAATTCCATTTCAAACTCAAGTTCTTCGAACACAACAAATTTGTTTGTAGTTTTGGTCGACTAAATTAGACAAAAAAAAAATTGTATTAAATAAAATTTATTTCAAATTCGCACCTTAAAAGTTAAATAGTGGTAACGAAATTCATTATCTTTGTCAGTTACTGTGGTTGTTACTGTGATCTTGTAATTGTCTAATTCACGCTAGTTCCTTAAATTTTGATAATGATTGTGGTTGTTATTGTGATTACATAATTGTTTAGTTCATGTTACTGCCTAGTTTTATAGAATTTTGACAGTAACTGTAACTATTATTATGATCTTCTTGTTGTCAAGTTTCATAAAATTTTGACAGTAAAGATGGGCAATGACAATAAAAATTCACATTATTGTGTAGTTTTGTGTGAATTTTGAACGGTGATGATGGACAATGACAATAAAAATTCATTATCGTTATAATTGTTACTGTTTTAATATCATTATTCTATGTTACTGTTATTATTACTGTATCGTTGTTATTGTTATTGTATCATTGTTATTGTCCATTTGTAATATAACTATTTATATCATTAAGGAAAAATTAGTCTTAATATTTTTTTTGGTAAGTTAGTCTTTATGTTTTTAATTATTCTTTAAACCTCAAAAGAATACACTCATAGACTAATTGACTTAAAAGTCTACAAATGTGGATCGGTCTCCGATTAACCCAATAAAATATAGGGTCCATATATGATACCGAAAAAATATTTTCAGTATGGTACTGTCAAATTAATAAAAACCATTGATCCATTATAAATAATTTTAAACTGTTGATTATATATTTTTTCTTTTATCGGTTACCGAATAAATCGGTTATTCACCTAATGTGAGGGAAAAACACTAAAACCCAATGTGCATATTTTGTGATAAACACTAAAACCCAATGTGCATATTTTGTGATACGTTACCACTTTTTAGGAGTAACGTTACCATTTTTAAGTGTACAAAACCACTGTTTTAGGATAAATGACATCTTTTTGATAATTTCACCACCTCTTGAGGGTAAGTTATCATATTTTGGGTGGTAAGTTATATCAGATTTTTTATCCGATAAATTACTAATGTTATCCAAAAAAGTGTTAACTTACACCAAAAAAGTGTTAACCTTATCTCCAAAAGTGCTAATCTTACCCTAAAAAGTGTTAACTTATACCCAAAAAATGTTATTATTTTTTAAAACTAATTTTAATTTGTGTTATGAGTAAAGTCGGTAAGCATCTTCAAACAAAATTAACATTAAATTCAATAAATTAACATTCAATTTCAACTAATAAATATTCAATTAATGAAATTAATATTCAATGTCAACTATTTAACATTAAATTTATGAAATTAACATTTATTTTCATCTAATTAATATTTAATTTCATCTGATATTCTAAAATGAGTTAATACACTTTTATCCTAAAATTATGAATATTTTATCAGTTTCATATCTAAAGTATCAATTTTGTCAATTTTATCTCTAAAGTATTTAATTAACAAACAATTAGCAAATTGATATCACTTTAACATGTTACTTTGGTTAAATTGATGAATTGAATATGAATTAGATGAAATTGTATGTTACTTTAGTGTTAATTTGATAAATTGAATCTTTATTGTTAGATTTGGAAAATTAATTCAATAAATTGAGTGTTAATTGAATGAAATTAAAAGTTTGTTTGATTAATTTAATATTAACTAGTTGAATTTGAATGTTAATTTAATGAATTAAATTCTTATTAAAAAAAATTGAATGTTAATTTGGTGTTAATTTGACGAATTGAATGTTAATTAGATAAAATTGAATGTTACTTTGGTGTTAATTTGATGAGTTGAATATTAATTAGATAAAATTGTATGTTACTTTGGTGTTAATTTGATAAATTAAATCTTTATTGTTTGATTTGGAAAGTCAATTCAATGAATTGAGTGTTAATTGAAAGAAATTAAAAGTTAATTTGATTAATTTAATGTAACTAGTTGATTTTGAATGTTGATTTAATAAATTGAATATTTAATCGATGAAATTAAATGTTAATTTGGTGTTAATTTTATAGTTTAAATATTAATTAGATGAAATTATATGTTACTTTAGTGTTAATTTGATCAATTGAATCTTTATTGGATTATTATTGAATGTTTATTAGATGGAAGTGAATGTTAATTTAATAATTAAATATTAATTTAGTGTTAATTTGATAAATTAAATATAATTTGTATGAAATTGAATGTTAGTTTAGTGTTGATTAATAATAATTTGAAGGCTATATGTATAGTTTATTCTAGTAAAAATTGTAAGTGAGTCTCTCTAGATGTACTTATTTGAAAATAAGTCCTACAAGAAAACTTATAAGGAGTTAAGTCCATGTTTAAAATTATGTGTAATGACTTAAGTCCACCATTTTTTTTATCTCAAAAAATACTCTTCGTTAAAAGTAAGTGAATCTTTTCTCTTTCATATCTATCTATATTCATATATTGGTTAAGAGTTTGACTAACATTAAAATTTTTCCTCTCTCTTATCTATCTATATCTATATATATGTTAGGTATATATATATATATTAACATTAAAAAAAAATTACTATGAATTTGAATAGTAAAATTCAAATTCATGTTACTATTTTTTGTTATTATGTTACTGTTCATGTTACTGCTTTTGTTGA